TATCTTTTTATTACTTATTGTGTATGGGCATTTTGCTTGCTTGAATGTCAAAGTACAATATGTGTGCCTGGTGCATGAGAAGGCCACAAAGGCCAGAGAAGTTCACTAGATCCCCTGGAATTGGAGTCACAGGTGGTTGTAAGCTTCCGTGTGGGTGTTGAGAATCAATCCCAGGCTCTCTGTAGGAACAACAAGTACTCTTACATGCTTAGCTATCTCTCTAGTCTCATCTTAAAAGCAAAAAAATCAAGCAAATATAAAAACCCGAGACTGTCTCAAGAAATCCACTTTGCTACTATCCAAGCATCTGTATGATTCAAAGTTTTGTCTACATTTTTGACAAAAGGTATTTAGAACTCATCCAAGGCCTGTGTGAAGCTGAAAACACCATGGTTACATGGGGTGTGTAGTGGGTAATTAGTGGAAAGGGGAAGAGACAGAGAAGGAGAGAAGGAGTTAGAATGGAGGATTAGAGCAAGAAAGAGAGAGATGGAGATGGGGAGAGAATCACTTTCCCTGAACCTTTCTCCAAATTAAAGATGTTTCTTATGTGTTAAATATACTGACACACAGTGCCACCAGTTTTTCAGGGCTCTGCTGTACCAATGCTAATTAAATATTATAATTAATTCAGTACTTAGTAAGTTATATCAGCCTCCTCATGGTATGTCTTGGTTTACAAAGCATGGGAGTTTTGGAATAATTTGTTTATAGGTGTTAATGAAGAAACACTGATCTCCATAATCTATAATAATATGGCTAGCCTATTAGATGCTATTCAAATGAAAAATCTAGACTGTAATGAACAACTAGGGTCTTTAAGAATACATGCTGCATGCCATCCATAAAATTGGATTTTTGCATCTACTTTGTTTCCTATATCCTTCACCTGCAGGGTTTGGAATTGAATACCTGGTGGGATTTATACTTTCCTATGGTGCCAAGGGAATGAGAAGAGACTCACATGAGTGTCTAGGTATTGGCAAGAGTGCTACTCCAGCCTCACTTCCCATAATCAATATTTGGAGGGTCATTCATAAGAACTTGTCGTAAGAAGTCTACAAAATAATTCACACTCAATTTCTACTTCATTTTGGCAATGAAAAGTTGCAGAAGTGAAGCCACAGAGGCAAAAGTACGTACATTGACAATTTCAGGAGAGTTAGATTTTTCAAAGGTGCCCATCATGTACACTATTCTTTATAGCTTAGCCATTAGCATGAGCAGCCCATGAAGTGAAATAATGGAAAGCCAGGCAACAGGTGGCACTTTAGAAGCTTGATAGAAATACACTTCTTAGCTATGCCAGAACCCAGTGAGTAAATTCCCCAGCACGGAAGTTCCTAGGCTTTGAACCTGCTTGCACCAGAGCTGCTCCATGCTTCCTGACTCAACCTCAACTTCATGTCAGGTCTCCTGAGTACAAAGAAGAGCTTTGGGCTTCTTTAAAATATACCTAGGCTGGCTTTTTAGAAACTTTAGAGGACAATCTGCTTAACTCCTCCTATTCTCGGGAAAAATAAAATAGATGAAATGATTTTAGGATGAGCTAAATAAATAAAGTGAGCTCAGCCCACCCAGGCCCTGGGCTCTAGGGGACGCCCTTTCTTTTCTTCACTAGTTCTCGAGGGTGAGCATTATTTTCTTTAATTACCAGTGTGATTAATTCTTTCCCTCAGCACTTTTTAAAGACCTGGAATCAATTGAACCCATGATTAAAGTTCCTCTGTTTCAAACACCTGGGTCCTGTTACATATCTGCGGAGAAATTGGATGTTGTAGCCCTCAGGGTTAGATGAAAGGGTTATGGAAAGGGCCCTGTCGCTTACCTTGGTCCCCTGATCTAGACACAGTCTCTGACCTTGTATTGAGTGAAGGACAACCACCTATCAATCTACCTAAAACTACTATGGCAGATACATTATATTCCAACTTATCAGTAGGTCAAATAGTAAACAAGCCAAAAGCCAAGAACCATAAAATTGTAGCATGCTCAATACTCAGCACTGATAAGGACAAAGCAGCACCTTTGGAGGGAGGAGCACTGGCCTGTAGACAGGAACACATGATCAAACCTTGCGCCTCAAGGTCAATGAGAAACAGCTCAGCTGCATGGACACACAGAGATGAGGGAAACTCAAAATGCAGCTGGCATAGGGAGCATGACTTGCAGGCAGAGTGAATGTGGAGAGGGATAAAACCATCAGCACAGACTTCTTGAGAGAAAGACCTGTTTCATTTATGTAGAAAAGGGAGGCTCTCTGTCGCAGTGCAATAGCAGGAAACACACGCGCGCGTGCACACACATACACACACACACACACACACACACACACAAATATATGCAAGATTCATTGGAATCAAGTGTCAAATGTGTAATATGGTAAATTATAGTAAATTCACATGAAGAAATATTCTGGGAATTTTTAATTATGTTACTACAGAGTTGACAGAGAATATTTCCAAACAAAGAGAAATGCACATTAAAAAAATAACCCCAGGAGTGGAATGGGGCCTGTAGCTCTATGGATGAGTGCCTGCCATAAGAAGTGAGGGCTCTGGGTTCCATTCCCAGCAACACACACACACACACACACACACACACACACACACACACACACACCATAGAAAAGGGTCAGGGGAGGATATATATAGTCACTAACATTAGATATTGCCAAAAGGCAGAATTACACCAATTTTTATAAAGTCCTTATTTACTAAATGTCCTGAGAAAAATGTAGATGTATGACCACAAATGAATCTCAGCACACATTATTTTGCTATTATTTTCCCATACTTAGCATTAGAGAACTGACTGATGAGTTTCCCTATCCTTTCATAAGCTGTGTGTTCTTTGATTGATACACTGCTTTATGGAAATTGTATTTTCTCTCTTCAAAGTAGATATCGGGACTTTATTCTGAGTGTCTTCTTCATGGTTGATTCCTAGAAACAATGGAATCATCGGCACCAGGCAAGCCAGGAGAAATCCCTCACTGCTTCTGAACTAGAACAGAATGACTCCAGCCCAAGTGATCCTACATAAGCTCAGGTGTAATTGGACTTCTTGTCCTTTTTTTAGATAATTGTGAACTCCATTTTAATAGCATTACACAATCGCTATAATGGAGATAGCAGACATGGTGGCCATGCCTACAATCCTAGGACTCAGGCAACTGAGCAAAAGGAACATCATATGACCAATCTGGGCTAGCTAGTGAGTTCTAAGACCAGACTGCACAGAGAAACTCTGTCTCAAAACAACAAAATAAAGTGACAACAGATGTATTAAAAAAAAAAGCCTGGAGGGGGACATTTCATCCCTGCCAGGTAGTGAAAAAAGACAGGAGGAAGGAGAACAGACCTTTCCCGGAAACCCTTCACACCCAGAGCTTCTCTCACAGTCACCAGCCTGGTCCATCAACATTCCCTGTCCAAGGTCCTTTAACCCATGTCTCAACTCCTCTGGAGACAAAGTCCCAGTAAGAGGTTAGTAAATATTTAGGAACAAAGCTGCTGACAGTGAACAACTGTGGAGGTTCTATGAGATAAATTGTAGAGCTGAGGAGAAGGACAGGAAGCTAGAAGCTAGCCTGCCGTGGACAGGACACTGTGAACCTGTTATCCTCAAGCAATTAATACCAGTGCCTGCTTCTTTTCTTTCAAATTGCAAGTGTTCCCTTGTGCATGGTGACTAGTGTGGTCACTGTCCCTACAGACTAGAGACAAAGGGAATCTTGGAGGGAGGTGTCTCTCTCTAGCCCCCTTGAGCTTTTTATAGTCAGTCACATGCTCTGATTACTCATAAGACCATCTCACATAGCTCTGTCTGCACCTGGACTTGAAAATTCTGACTGTGATTTTCCCCTATTGTCTGACTGCAATCATGCATAGCTGTGGCTTGCGTGGTAACTCCTGAGAATGCCTGACCCTATGAATTAATGTGTTTTCACCTGTAGCCACTCTTCTTAGTTCACTCATCGCACTTATAAATGAACATGTCTGAAAATATTCAGTCTGCCAATTGCCCCCTTCCTGGATGAGTGTCCTCCTCTTTTTCTTCCCCACTTCTCTTCCCAGCTATATCCCTTTGTCCTTAAGAATCCCAGGCTGGGATCCTAAGACACTCCTTGACTCCCATTTCAGTTTCACTTTCAGTAGCTAAAGACATATAGTTTCTAAATTATCTTGGATCCCCTTTCTCATCTCCCAGCCAGTCCTGGAGGAAAGTACCCCGTTCTCTCCTGGCCATTCATTCTATGTTGCAGCAGCTTTTTATTTTCTGAGAAAGCCTTGCCTTCATCACTGTCTGTAAGTCAAGACTCCCACCTTCCTCCACTATACCTACTGACTTTCAGGACCCTGTCCATACCTCTCTTGCCCTCCTTGGTGGTACCCCTTCCTACCCTCTCATTTCTCAGCAGAGACTACTTACTCCAGGGCCCTGAAACTTGCAGGCTTTCAAGCCTGTTCCTTCTTCCCTGATACTGCCAGCTGTTCCTGGTGCCAATGACCACTGACTCTATTCCCTCCACCAAGAGTTCTGATACTGTGTCCTGTACTGAACTTTGGTATTATATCAACCCCCCAGTGGGTGTGGAGGGTTTGTGTTTGCAGGTACATATATATGTGAACATAGATGTACGTGTATGTGTGTGTGTGTGTGTGTGTGTGTGTGTGTGTGTTTGTAGGCTTCTTGGTGTCTTCATGATTATTGTTTTGTTTTGAAACTTGGCTTCTGCTTAGCCTGAAACTTAACAAATAGACTACGCTATTGTGTCAGCTATCCCAGTGCACCTGTGTGTCTCCACTTCCTCAGGGCTGGGATTATGAGCACGTGTCATCACATTCCCCCCATTCCATTCTGTGGGTTCTAGGGTAACAGAGCAAGCCCTCTATAGACCAAGTCATCCCCACAGCCCACTTTTCTATTCCTAAATCCATCACCTGGTACCTGTCCTTAACCTGTGATCTGTAATGAAGAGACTGGTTATAGCCAACTCCAATCCTTTTTTTCCCCTCTCTCTTACAAGCGATTTTCCTTCTGAGAATCAATTTCTCTGTTACTATGATGGTGATAGGAGTGTAAGCTGTTAGCCATTTGCCATGTCCAATTCCATAAGGAGCTTATGAGAGTGGGGGTGGGGCTGAAGGAGAAGGGTGGATGTATGCTTGTCTGGGTTGTGGGTGTGCTTGCCAAGGGGCTGACGTGATGCTCGTTTCCATCGTTGTATAACCCACGCTTGATGTTTGAGCTGCTGTTGTGTCCTCTCTCCTTCCTGTCTGATAGTTTCCTCACGTAATGCAGCACAGTGGCTTTTCTCTTTGCTGAGTTTATCCTGTCTCTTCAGAGGGCCCTCTTCTTCAGAAGATCCTGGAAAAACAAGGGGTGAATGAGAATCATTCTTCAGGACCTTGTGGATAACCCCTCCTTCAAAGCAGAAGAAAATAGAGCATCTCTGTGAACTTCATGTGCATAGAGGATGCTCTGGCTGGTACTGTTTCCTAGGGTCCCTTAACCATAACAGATTTGCCAGTGAGAGGTTGTACCCCAGGAGAATCCAGCTAACAAGATAATACGATGTTCTCTCCCTGGGGGGATTAGAGGCAGGGGAAATGTGTCTCCTTCTAATTAAATTAAAGTGAACTCTTTCATTAAACTATTATGGCTACCATCACATTTTTTAGAGATGGAATCTTTGATCTGCTCATGAATCACCACAGTGCACAGGAAAAGTAACTAAGATTAAATGAAATTAAATGCTGCTAATAGTTGGGTATTTAACAAAAGAAGTCAAAGCTACATAGTCATTTGGAAAAAAAAGAAAACTTTTATTTTGAAGCTTTAGATTTAGAGGAAAAGTGTAAAGATAGCACAGAGATCCCCTTGATTCCTGATGTGACTTGTCCCTTTATGAACATCTTATGTCACTGTGGTATAATTGTCAGAGTTAATAAACCCATAGAGACTTTGTAAACAGTCTTGGCTTTATATACCTCTTCCCATTATCTAGTTTTGATAGGAGCATATGTGACACATAATGGCCAGGTTATCTTAGGTTCCTCTGGACTGGATAGAGACTGGAAGTATCCTGACTGTGCTGTCCTTAAGGTTTGGGGACAGGTCTGGCTATGCATTTTGTAGGGTACTTCTCAAATGGGTCATTTTTAAAAGGCATTACTTGTGATTTATTTGACCAGGGGTCTTGGGGAGGGAGACCACAGAGGTAGCTTGCCACCCTCACCACAGGGTGTTAAAGCTATCTGCTGTGAACAAGATTCAGCAGAGTAGATGTAAACCCTGATCCTATTGCTGTAAACGTCAATGATTTTAAAGTCAGTCTGTCCTTTCCCTGTTTTCACAAAGGGTCCCACCAGTCACTGCTCTGACGGTGCTTACAGATTAAAGTATAGGCAGGGCCTATGCAAGGTAGACTGTTGGGGTACATTATGCACATATCTTATACACAAGGCATTTATTTGCCTTTTCTCCCGCATGATTATATTGGTAGGTTCTCAAGGGTGTGTATTTTGTACCTTAGATTGTAAAACTTTCCTGTGCTTTTTTCTTCTGTAGTTCCCCAGCTCTGGCCTTTTGGATCTTTCCTGGCTGTCCCAGTGCCCTATGGCACTGTTAAGAGTTTATATTGGACTTTATTTTATTTGGTTGTTGTATTATTTATATGCATTTTGGTTGTTGCTCTGTCCTCCTTCATGGTATATAGTGCGTACACTCATCTGTGTTTTTTAAGCTTCAACACTGTCATCAGCTGCATCCACAAGAAGCTCCCATTCCTTTTGTAAGAAGAAATGTGTTAGAAGTCACATCTGTTCACTAGCTTTTTAAAAATACTTTTATTTGTTTTTAAATGATGTTTATATATGGCAAATATTCTGAGTTAACCAATTCTTTGTAAAGGTCAATCCCTGTGTTAGGGAGAGGAAGCTGTGACTTTGGAGGCAGCAGTAGAAACAGCTTACTGGGTAAAAGGCATTGATAATTTTATTGCCTTTGGGTTGTCCTCAGGAACGTTTCATTTGCCAATCTTCAATCTCTAGAATCAGGGGGGTGGTATAGGAGTGGATGTTGTGGGGCTATATTTAAGAAAGGTTTCACATTTAACTGCCTAAGTTCAGAGTGAGAGCCCTGCAGATTTACCAAAGTTTAGGGAATACATAGATGAATATGCATTTATAGCAAATGGACTTCAAAATGGAGGAAGGAAGGAAGGAAAGAAGGAAAGGAAAGGAGGGAGCGAGGGGCGAAGGAAGGAAAGCAAGGTCTTATTCTCTTCCAGCCTCTGTCACCTACATCTACAGTGACCTTCCATTACCAACAACTACCCTGAGCATCTAATCTTTAAACAGCTGTCCACAACTTACTGGAAACACAGGTGTCTTCAAGTATCAGTCCTCAATCAGGTTCCTTCTCAACTTGTTATGTACACTGTTTGTCACTGCAGAATAACAACCAGAAACTGAGGGTGATTAGAATGACCTTTCTCTATGGGGACAGAGTAGGATAAGGGGCTGCTTCAGAGCATTGAGTGACAGAGAGAGCTATGTGTCCCTCATTTTCAGTCACTAAGGGTGATAAAGTTTGTTACTTGCAGAGGGACAGCTAGTCAGAAGCATGTCTACCAGAGAACCATCTTTTTCAGGAAACCAAGTTTTGTCCTGAAAAAATGTAAGAGAGATGACAGCTTTAGGTCATCTCTCATGTGGAATGGCAGGAGCCTGGCTGTAGTGGGTGGGGAGTCACTCCTCCAGATCCTCAATTTAAATAGGGAGGCTAGAGTCAAACCTGCACACCGGGACAAAGACTTTCTTTTACTGTTTTTATGCAGAATTCATAGACTACATAATGGATATCTGTTAACATTAAGTTTGGAACCAGGTGGGGGAAATGGGCACATCCTAGTTTGGGAAAGCTCCTACAAGATGTCAATGGCAAGTGCAAGGTTCAGAGGCATCAAGAGACTGTGGCTCTTGCTCTCCCTCTGGTTGCTGAAGACTTCCCTATGTTTATTGAACTGGAGACAGGTAAAGAGAGTGCCTGTGCTCCACCACTGTGAGCATCTGTTATGTACAGAAACCAGAATCTTGATCTTTCTACAAGCAAAGGAGCAAACATTTAACAATAAATATCTCCTTAAATGTCAAGATGGAGCTGTTGAAATCTGCCGGTGCGTAGGTTAAATTTTACAAATTCACTCCTTCTAATGCTATCAAAACTCATCCTTTATGGTTAAGCACTTAAAATTTAATTCTGGGATGTATGTAATTCTAGAACATAGATGCCAACAGGAAAGACAGGTTTTGAACAAAATCTCTAAACAATCCCCTCCCCATCCTTAAAAAAAAACTAATCCTAAGACTATTTCTCAGTAAATAATAACTGGTTGCGTAACTATATAATGAGAACAATGTCCTTGCCAACATACAAGTTAGTCCATTACTTCAAAATGTTGGTTTTTACCCTCTTTTTGGTTGAGGAAACAGAGAGGCAGGCAAGGGGCTGTTGAGAATAAAGAAATGGACTATGGAAAGTCATATCATCCACTTTTTACAATAATTAAAGATCTTTTCTTGGAATTCCCAAAGGAGATAAATGCACAGCTTACCTGAGTAAAGCTGTCATTGCCAAAAAGGCACTGGCCTTGTCAGCAAGATCTGTCACTGTAGACCTAAGATATGCTGGCACTTTCCTGGAGGACCTGGGATCCACAGTGATACCCTCAGGGGAGCAAATGAGTCATATCTGAGCCCTGGATTGCACTGTGAGTGACTGTTCCACTCTGAGGAGGTCCCGACCTGATTGCCCTGCCTCCCTTGAGAACCCAGTCTTTATCAGGATCATGGCTCATATCCTGAAGGAAATGATCTGGTTGTAATCACATTTGAAACTGCAGTCTACCCTTCCCCACTTGCCAGCCCCACTGAAACTATTTATTAAAGATTCTAATATCCCTTTAAAAACTACTGTCTTCATAGACTCTCTCCTCCTCATACTCATTTAGTTTAAATTATCCTCTGTCAAAATTCAATTTTCGTAAAATGCTCTTTCAGAATTTTAATTCTGATCTCATTTTGACATTAGTTATAATACTCTGGCCTTTCTTCATAGATCCTTCCTACATCTCAGTATGTCTTAGATTCTTGGTTTCCTTTTCATGTCTTCTACTGGAAGCCTCTCTCTGGAAATACTAATCTGAGAGGTTCCCAGAGTCAGGAACACAGACTAAAGAATGCAGCTTTGGGCCTTAAATTCCACCATACAGGGAATTAAAGTTAGCATCCTGTTACCAAGGTTTCTGTGTCTTTCTGTACTAACCTGTAAGATGAACACAGTCCTGTATCGTCATACCTGTTTCATCAGGATGTGATACAGAGAAAAAGAGCAGATTATACAAAGTGCTCAAGATAAATACTTGGCATAAAACACACTGCCAAAAACACACTAACCAGATAGGAATAGACCTACATGATTTTCTAGCATTAAAAATAATTTTGATCCTATTAAAAATAAGCATTTTTATCTTGTTCAAGGTAACTCTTTTACCTTTACATCTTTCACCTGTTTGGGGGTAGTGTGGGTGCTTGTTACAATGGAGGGGAAGGAAGCTTTCTTTCTCAGTTAAGAGCCAGATAGCTCCCATGTGTACTGTGATTTACTTCATGTAACAAATAAAAAATCCTAAACTCAGATTCCAAGGCTGTCTGAGCCTCCCCTTAGGCAGCAGGAGAGCAGCCAGGACATCTGTGAGACACACACTGCACAGGTATTCCCCTCCAGAGCATGAACCTGGAGATGTACCTGACTGGACAAGAAATGAACCAAAAAATACTATTCAGAACTCTAACGTGAGCTGAGGGTTCTTAAGTACTGTTAAAATAATGGACTTATTTTTAAATTCACATGACTGCAGAAAACCTGATTCCAATTTACAGAGACCTGCAGTGATCAAACCACATTAAAAATCAACAAGACCATGAGGTCAGCATTGATTTTTATGAGTAAGTTTGTGATTAAAGGCCAAAGTGAAACAGGAAGCAGAGTTATAGGGAAAGAGCACACGGCTACAGGATCTTGGGGAGTTGAATACAGTTGATTTCTTTTTAAAATGTTGTTGCTGCACAGGGGATTGTGTAGAGAGGTCAGCGGCATCCATAACAAAACACAGAGAAGGAGAAAACATCTGATTGCTACTTCTCAGAGGCCTGCTCACCTGTAGGAAGAGTTTTTAGACATGCAGCAGCATGAAAGCAGGTGCATGAGTCCTCAGACAGTCTCCAGTAGGAGAGAGGCCATTGGCTGTGGTGATGATGATGTAACAGGTCTGTGATATTTATCACCCTTACTCCCAGCTGTCTCAGAAGAAACTAGGATTTAGAATGGTTGAGCCAGTTTGCCTGCGATTCCCAGGGTGAGAAGAGCCCAAGTGAAGGTGCCAACAGTAAGGTGACCTGAGGCTCCATTGTGACAGAAGCAGGTGTACACATCAGGGAGTTCTGGACTTGACTTCTGGCAATAAAGCCTAAAGGCACCTCCCAAGGAGGGATGCCCTGAGTCACCTCATGGTGACTTATTAACTGGGCTATGTCTGGATCCCAGTTTCTAAATTTCTACCCAGTGTTTTTGCATGTACCAATAGTCTATGTGTCTACTGGAAATTTCCCTGACATTCTCTGTGTAAATTTCAATATCAATTTGTATGTGTCTGAATGTATATTTTAATATATAAAATGAGTATGTGCTTAAGGAGGATACATGTATGTATTGAAAACTAGAGAAAATTTGCTCTGAATATTGGTTGGCAATTTTGTTTAAATTTTTCACTGTTGTGCATTTTCTCTTATGTGTGTTTGTGTGTATGTTTCAGTCTGTCTTTTGTATATGTGTGCACGTAAGCATATGCATACGCTTCTGTAGCTTCTGTGAGGCTGAAGACCACAGGGTGAGGGCCTTCCTCTATCACTCTCTACCTTACTTTTTGTTGTTGCTGATGTGAAGCAAAGGACACTCTGCTTCCATCTTCAAACACAGATTTCTGTCCATCTCTTTACTTTCTATCGATTTGACTTTCCCAGATATTCCTATAACATAATAACATGTGCAGACTCTCCTCTAGCATAACAGCATGCACATAGATTCTCATAACAATATGTGCAGACACTCCTATAACATAAAAATCTGCACAGACTGGACTAATCTGCTTTCCTTAACTGGACCAAGATAACCATAACCGAAGCTATATTGTTTGTAATCATTTTATTCCAATTGGTTCCCAAATGAAAACACCTTCCAGTTAGTTTAAGGAAGCCACTCAAACACTTTCTTTTTAAGATTACTTTTATTTGTTGCTTGATAATTTCATAAAGACATATAACTTGTTTAGATGAAACCCACCCCCACTTCCCTCTGACCCTTTCATTATTCCCCCTTCCCTGCTACTTTCTCTCCTCAACTTCATGAACTCTTATCTTTGTAATGGCTGGGTGCTGCTGGTATATGTATTAAGATAGACTGTGACAGTTTGAACTACATGGAACCTGTCAAATTCCAATGTAGAAGCGGGCTGGGCTCACAAAGTCCCTTCCCTAGCAAGGGAGCTATTGATGGCTGACTAAGTGCCACTCTCAGTTTTCTTGGATCTCTCAATGAGTCTGAGCTCTCAGTTCAGCTAAGATCCATGGGCATTGAGAACATGCCTATTTCCCCTACAGCCCTAGAACTGCAGGTATCCACTAGCACGCAGGGCTGTTTTACCTGGGAGTCAGACACCCGAACTCCAATTCTCATGATTGCTCAGCAAACATTTTATAGACTAAACCCAGCCCTATCCCAAAGATCCTATTTTCACATTTTTATTGCTTTTTGATAAACTGCATTTATAAATCTTGAGGATGCTGGAATCAGGATTCTCTAGCTGTATTGTAACATGTCTGTTTCACTGTGGCTCACCGAACTGCAGCCCCACCTAACTTCTTTTTTTGGAGACATGGGTACTTACGTAGAGATGTCTTAGCAATAATGCTATGAATTTCTTATTCATAACTAGAAAGAATCAATGAAAGAAAACAAGTCAGAAAGTTAAGGGGGTCATAAAATATTACACAATGAGTTTACATCATGATAGTCTTTTCTTTAAAGGATTATATGAAGAGTCTTTTGTCCTGTGGTGACACAGTTGCTGCTACATGTGTAGCACAGTGGGTACCAAGTCAGTGTAACATAGCTTTTCTGTGCCAAAACACCCACAGGCACAATGAGTACATGATCCCCTGGCATCTCTAACCCTCAGTGGGGACACTACGATTTGAGTTCCACATTTTCTTGCACATGTCACAAAATGGTTACCTGCTTGCTTTGCATTTTTCCATTATTTAAAATTGCAGTCTTATTGCTATTTCAGAGTCTTTAGGTGACAAGCAGGTGACAAACACAAAACCCAACTCAGGTTACAATTATTTTTATTGTGTATAAAAGCAAATTTCCAACAGAATCTAGTCTGACCCCTTGTGGGATGTGTACTGCTATTGTCTAGAAGTCATCCGTGTCCATTCTTTTCTTCACATGGAATTTAGTGGAATAAATAAAAATGTTGGTCCTAATGTATGTATATATGTGCCTATACGGATATCAAACTCATGCAGAAGCTAGAGAGAATATAATCTGGGAACAACAGTGTCATAGTAAGTGAAAGAGGAAGATATTTAGTGTCTATTTTTAACTATAATTCTGTTCATATATCACTGGTAATGGGTAGCCCATTCTCCAACACATCTTATTTTCAAGAACATTATAGTTATTTTCAGTATTGCTTTTATATTAAATATGATAAAAATGTCAACCGTCATCTCTGAACCTTTTCATTTTACAGGAGTTTTGACACCAGCATCCTGCCTGTCATTAGCCTCCTTCTCTTTTTGTGATTTTATACACACATCTCCAGTTATGTGGCCTGAATTCATCTTGAGCTCAAATCCATTGAAACCTTCTAGGACACATTTGATGTCATGCAATGAAAAAAGCCTTACTTAGCTCTACCTCAGCATTTCTCATTAGTCAATGGAGAGTGGACACTTTCCCTTCAGTCTTGGGGTCTAGCATGTTGCACAGAGGGCAATTTGTGGTTTTTTTGGGGTATACACTCCACTGATTTAATTGCAGACTTACTGAGTGACCTCTGTGACAGTGAGGGCATGTTGTGGCAAAGACTGGGAAGATGACAGCCTTTGTGTTTCCAAAAATTCAACTATTAATAGTCTAGATTTAGAAATAATATTTAATAGTTCAGCAATTTGTGCATTAAAATATATGGCTTCTTTCAGCCCTAAGTGTAATTCTAACACTGTAAGAGGGTATCATAACTGACCCTAAAATGCTTGAAAAGAAGATGAATCACCAATACTCTGGTTAAGGGTATCTATGAGGTGCATTTGGACTGTTAATAACCTAGTTAGCTCTTTAACCACAAGTGGACATCTATTTTACCACCGTCTTCAATCTAAGAATTGTATAACATATTTCATGAATTTTGATATCTTGTATTAATATTTATTTTATCAATTACATTGGAATGGAAAATTAATGTCCTATTTCTAACTGAACTCTTTCCTGTGTGAGCACATTCAGGTCAGACTCTCTGTAGAGGCAACTGGCACTGTGTCCTTTGCATCATGATATGTATTTCCTAGTTAAAAATAGTTTTTTTTAAACTATCAGAAATGGATTTTGAAGGGACCATTATTTATTTGTAAAATCGAGATTCAAACCTGTAAATACTCTCATATATTTGTATCATTTCTGTGGCTTCTGGTCACAGTTGAGACACCAGAATCCATACAGTTATACAACAAGTGCAATTCTTTTTATAAATTATGACTTACTATAAACCTAAGATGTGAAAGTATTTCTACAAGTAGAATTCGCAGACCTCTGCATTGTGTGGGCACACACACGAGTTCAAGAGATGGGCTTGACAATACCTAGATCCATGCTTAGAGTGAACAAGGCCAACAACCCCTTGGCTCAGAAGTGATTGGTTCATGCCTCTGATTTTATCTGACACCCGCTGGGGGTTATAATTTTAGTCTGAACAGATGTTTACATTCTCCCACAGCATCTCTCTATTAGAGAAATGTCTACTTTAGCAGGTATGAAGTGAGCAGTTAATGTACCTAGAATAGATTTTCTAGCCCCGTAGTTCCTCCCAAAACTGCTGAAGTGTCCTGTCTCTTTACTGTCCAATAGCTGACAGTGCTTATGTCTTGTGGGAGGCCCTAGGTGTGGAAGGTTGTTGGGGATATGCTTTCAGCAGTGGGAACTGGGATACGTTGTCCTTGAATGCTTAAAGTTATAGAAACATCATAGGTGAGCTCATAACTATATGGGGTGGAGAGTCGTCCAGCCAATCTCAGAATAACACCTAGCAGTGTGGACAGCACTACAGGGCAGAAAGAGCTTCTGCAATCAGTCCATCAACCTGGTAGGTATGAGAAGATGGAGATTACGAATCTTCACGCAAGGCTGGTGATGATCCCTAACCTCCCCAAAAGAATTTTGGCTAAAATCAATTTTCTGAACATTCTTTGTCCATCTCATGGTGGCTGCCACCCGAATGAGCCGGAATTAAGTGCGAGTCACTGGTGGTTTAAATGAGAAAAGCCTGTATATTTAAACACTTGGTCCCAGTTGGTAGGACTGTTCAGAAAAGATTAGGAAGTGTGGATCTGTTGGAGGAGGTTTGCCATTGGGGGGTGTGCTCTAGGTTTCATGGACTGGTTCCTTTCATGGCTAGCTCTCTCTCTTTCTCTTGCTGTGAGCTGCCATGCTCCCCACCATGATGGTCATGGATTAACCCTCTGAAACAGGAAGCCCCTATTAAATCCTTTAGTTTGTAATTTCCCTTGGTCGTGGCCTCTCTTCACAGCTATAGAAACTTAACTAAGATAGGAACCAAGATAGGAACGACAGCAAGACACGTGCAAGGAGGCCCATGAGAGACTTAAGTGTGTTGTGTGAACAACAAACTATCCCCGAGCCCCAATAAGAACCCCACTTCACCACTTAGGTATATTTCCTTTGCTTGCTTTTGAATTTGGGAGGAATCAAGTGTTGAATGATTTGCTGCCAGTCTGCGAAATCTTTTTTTTTGTTTTGTTTTGTTTTGGTTTGGTTTTTTAAATTTATTTTTAAGTTTAAATTTAGATTAGAAACAAGGTTGCTTCACAAGTTAGTTCCAGGTCCCTCTCCCTTTCCCTCACCTCCTCCCGTGACCACCCCCCAACCCCCCTCATTATCCCTTCATTTCCCCAGGGAGGGTGAGGCCCTCCATGGGGGTGACCATAGTCTGTCATTTCATATAGGGCAGGGCCTAGACCCTCCCCCAAGAGTTCAGGGTGAGAGTGCATCTCACATTGTTGGATGGGAGTCCAAAGTCCATGTGTATACTCGGGATGAATACTGATCTGCTGCCCAAGGCTCAATAGATTACCTAGGCCTCCTCACTGACACACCCATTCAGGGGGTCTTGATCAATCCCATGATGGATTCCCAGGCATCAGCCTGGGATTCAAGAGTTAACCATTGTCAGGTCAGCTGTTTCTGGGGTTAAACCAGCCCAGTCTTAATTCCTTTGGTCATCAGTCCTCCCTCTCTGTTACTGGCTTTCTTGAGTTCATCTCAGTGCTTAGTCGTGGGAGTCTGCCTCTTCTTCCATCAGCCACGGAATGAAGTTTCTGTTTCCCAGACTCTCTGGCCATGGGATTGTAGGCTGGCACTCCCCAGATCTATGTCTAAAGTCAATATATGAGAGAGTACATGCCATGTTTCTCTTTTTGTGACTGGGTTACCTCACTCAGGATGGTTTCTTCTAGTGTCATCCATTTGCCTGCGAATCTCAGGATTCCATTGTTTTTTTTCTGCTGAATAGTCCTCCATTGTGTAAATGTACCACATTTTTTCTATCCACTCTTCAGTTGAGGAGCATCTATGTTGCTTCCATGTTCTGGCTATTACAAATAATGCTGCTATGAACATAGTGGAAA